ACTCCCCACAAAAGAAGATGATAATTCTCTGATACCAGATCCCAAACAACAGGAAACTGGTGAAATGCCTGAAGAAGAACCCCAAACAACAATCTTAAGGAAACTACATGTCGCAAGAAATAGAAATCACAATGAAGTCAAAACAAAAATTCAGGACATGTATGAGAAATTCAACAAACACACAGAAACTATAGTCTACAGTCATCCCACCCTGAACACAGCCCATGTCATCTGATCTCAGAAGCTAAGAAGGGTTGGGCCTGGTTAGTTCTTGGATGGGAGATAGAAACTATAAAAATGAACTAAGCAGATATCCTAGAATTGAAGAATTTATTAAGTGAAATAAAAAATACAATTAAGAGCTTATGCAATGGGCTAGAACAAGCAGAAGAAAGAATTTCTGAACTAGAAGACAAGCTTTTTAAATTCATCCAGTTGGACCAAAATAAGAAAAAAGAATTTTAAAAAGAGCCTACTAGATCTATCCGACAACCTTAAGCATACAAACATCAATATTATGGATGTACTGGAAGGAGAGGAGAAAGAAAAATGCATTGAAAGCCTATTTAATGAAATAATAGCAAAAAACTTCCCAAATATTGGGATAGATAGCTATGTTTAAGCTCAGATCCAAAAAGCTCAAAGATCCCCAAAAAGATTCAACCCCAAAAGGACCTCCCTAAGACACATTATAGCCAAATTGTCAAACATCAAGACAAAGAAAGAATTCTAAGCACAGCAAGAGAAAATCATCAAATTGCCTATAAGGGAATCCCCATCAGACTAACAGCAGACTTCTCAACAAAAGCTGGTCTACAAGACAGGAGAGCATGGAATGATATATTCAAAGTTCTTAAAGAAAAAAGCTGCCAACAAAGAATACTATACCGAGCAAAGCTAAAGTTATCCTTCAGAAATGAAGAAGAAATAGTATCTTTCCCAAACAAAAACTGTGGGAATGTACCACCACAAGACTGACTCTACAAGTAATCCTTAAGGGAGCCCTACATCGGGAATCAAGAGTGATAAGTATCATCATGAATATATGAGAAAGAATAAAAACCACTAGTAGAACAGATGTGCAAAAGAGAAAGAAAATGTTTCTTACTACAAAAAAAAACAAATACAAACAATAAATGGAATGAAATAAATATAAAACAATCATAAAAAAATTAATAAGTGGCAGGAATAAGGCAATATCTTTCAATAACAATCCCGAATATAAATGGATTAAATTCCCCACTAAAAAGATATAGACTGGCTGAAAGAATTAAAAAACTAGACCCAACTATGCTGGCTGCAAGAAATTTACTTCACCTTTAAGGACAACATAGACTAATAGCGAAAGGATGGAAAAAGATATCTCACTTAATCTTTTCCAATCTGGATGCCCTTTATTTCCTTCTCTTCTCTGACTGCTCTGGCTAGTACTTCCAACACTATGATGAATAGGAATGGTGAGAGTGGGCATCCTTGTCTAGTTCTTGCTCTTAAGGGAAAAGATTTCAGCTTTTCTCCCATTCAGGATGATATTGGCAGTGAGCTTATAATATATGGTTTTAATTGTGTTGAGATACTTTCCATCTATACCTAAGTTGTAGAGAGTCTTTATCATGAATGAATGTTGAATTTTGTCAAATGCTTTTTCAGCATCTATAGAGATGATCATATGGTTTTTGTCTTTGCTTTTATTGATGTGATGTATCATATTTATTGATTTGCATATGTTGAACCAACCTTGCATTCCTGGGATGCTGGAAATCAAAAACGAGTAGGAGTTGCCACACTTATATCAAATAAAAGAGACTTTAAACCAAGAACTATAAAAAGAGACAAAGAAGGACATTATATAGTGATAAAAGGATCAATGCAGCAAGAAGATATAACAACCATACATATATATGCACCCAACATCAGAGCACCCAGATATATAAAGTAATTGTTATTGGATCTAAAGGGAGAAATTAACCTCAACACAATAATACTTGGGGACTTTAAAATGCCTCTTTCAGCTTTGGACAGTTCATTTAGACAAAAAATTAGCGAGAAATATTGGATTTAAACAGCATTTTAGACCAAATGGACTTGACATACATTTATAGAACATTTCATCCAACAACTGCAGAATATACATTATTCTTACCAGGATATAGATCATTCTCCAATATAGACCATATATTAGGCCACAAATTGAGTCTCAACAAATTTAAAAAGATTGGGATCATATCAAGTATATTTTCAGACCATGATGGGATAAAACTAGAAATTAAAAACAAATGAAACTTGGGAAACTATACAAATACAGGGAAACTAAACAATATGCTCCTGAATGACCAATGGGTCAAAGAAGAAATAAACAAGGAAATCAAAAAATTCCTTGAAACAAGTGAAAATGCAAGTACAACTTACCCAAACAATGGGATATTGCAAAAGTAGTACTAAGAGGAAAATTATTGCAGTAAGTGCTTACATCAAAAAAGTTGAAAGATCACAAATAAACAGCCTAAAATTACACCTTGAGGAACTAGAAAAGCAAGAACAAATCAACCCCAACATTAGTAGGTGGAAAGAAATAATAAAGATCAGAGCAGAACTAAATGAAACAGAGACCAAAAAGTGATACAAAAGATTGATAAAACAAAAAGTTGTTTATTGGAGAAGATAAAATTGACAGACCATTAGCTATAGTAACCAAGAAAAGAGAAAAGACCTGAATATCAAAAATCAGAAATGAAAATGTAGACATTACAACTGATCCCACAGAAATACAAAAAATCATTAAAGACTACTATGAACAGAAATGGATAAGTTTCTGGACACACACAATCTACCAAGACTGAATCAAGAAGAAATAGAAAACCTGAACAAACCAAATGTCTAGAAGAGAGGAGCTCAAATGTGTACATCACAAAGAAATGATTGAGTTTTGCAATGATGAACAAGCTAACTACCCTAAGTAGATGAACACACATTGTATACATAAATATATGTATTTATGTATATAAATACCTCTACCTCATAAATATATACAATCTAATATGTTTCAATCAAAAACATTTTTAATAAACAATGTGATATAACTCTCTTATCATTTTCTCTCATATATGTGTGTATTTGGGGTATTTTTTCAATTCAGTTTTGAGCTTGTTGAATATAAATTGCTTCTAGAATTTATAAATGAATTTATCAAGTAGAAAATTAGATAAATGGGTCTAAAACTCAGAAAGGAGGTGTGTTCCACGTATATAAATGTGTCTGTCTATTTGTACATAATACGTAAGCCATGGGAGTAGTAAGAATTCCTGGGGGAAAGTGTTGAGTCACAGGAGAAGAGAGGCTGGACAGACTTCTGAGGAAGTCCAGCCTTTAACAGTTAGATGAGGGAGGAAGAAGAGAGGTCAGAGAGATAGAAACCAGGAGAATGAGGCATTGTCCAAGCCAAAAGAGAGGCAAGCACAGCCAAGAAGCCAATTAATGAAGAGTCCAGTCAACTAATGAAGAGTGAGTTAGACTAAGCAACAAAGATATCATTAATGACATTACAGAGCCGTGTCAGTGGAGCGGTTGGGGCCAAAGCCAAATCGCTGTGAGCTTAGGAGTAAATGGAAGATGATTGAGTAGCGTCAAAGTAAAAATTGCACCTGACAAAGTTAAACAGGCGAGGAAAACGTTATTCAAGACTACTGCCATAGGCAAGAGAGGCCAGACTTAGAGCTCAACTCCACTGAAACAAAGGGTGGGAGGATTTTTAGGTACTAAAGTGGGAGAGAGAGCACAATCTATTTATGTTGGCTATTTGGCTTTAACCAACAGAAATGTAAACTTTCTCTTATCTTTGTAACAAGGAAGAAGGTTTATGACTTGGTACAAGGCTGAATGAAGCTGGGCTCCTACTCTCCCACAGAGGCTGGGAGATAGGGGCAGTGCTGTAGGATGATTACATTGCAAAGGGTTGACTGTAGGTCCTTGAAAAAGACCTTCCTGGGTATTGAAACTGGCAGAAAAAAAAACACCTTTTTAAAAGATTTACATCGCAAAGGGGTAGAAAAAAACTTATAAATACAGTACAAGTTTTCTAAAGGAAATGCTGTAAGAAAAGGGATGTTAGGGCCTGGAGTCAGGAAGAAGCAGCTGACAGGAACATTAAGGCCATCCTGGACAGTGGATACAGAAAACATTAGCTGCCCTTTTGAGAAAATTGTCCATGAATGTGAGGAGAGAGTAGCTTAAGCAAAATGTGTGCGCAAGGAACTGTGTTTTGTTTGTGTTAAGTATGAAGAACATAGAATAGATAGGTAGACAGAGAGAGAGAAAGAGAGGTATTAAAGAAATTGGCCAATTTTAGCTACATTTTACTTAATTTTACCAGATTGGCCAATTTCACCTAATGGCCATAGGTAACATTAAGAAAGAAAATCTTCCAGGAAGGAAGAGGGCATAGGATTCAGAGGACTTATAGAGGAAATGGCCACTGATAAGAGGAGGGACAATTTGTTGAGCACAGCCAAGTGTGTGTGTGCACGTGGGTTTGTAAATTTAGTGGCAGGAATTTGAAGTGGTGCGTGAGAACTAGTATTTTTTTCAGTGTGGTAACAGGCAAGGTAATCTTCCCAGGGAAGTGGAATCTGAATTACTGGTCTGAGGACAATAGAGAAGATTTGAGAATGAAGAGAGAAGGTGACCAGAGAAAGCTGCATGGAGGGACCAGTTGAGGTTCCCAAGTGTGATTTTGGAGTAATGATGTTGCTCCCAGAGGTGTGTTCTCCCTCCAGAAGTGATCTCCTGAGGGGAGTCACAGAGAAGATAGCGGGGGTCTCCAAAGTTGGCGTTATTTAACAGAATATTTAACAGGAATATTTAACATGCAAAAGCAACATGGTATCTATGAAAAGCTGTTATAGCACTATCATCTGACTACTTGTATTGTTGAAGACTGAAATGCATTGAATGTAAGTGGACTTTTTTTGGTATTTTTATTTGTTTTATTTTTACCTAGGGAAACAGTGAACATGGAACCAGTGGCCCAAAAGGAGAAAAGGTAATCTAATTTTCAAAGTGGATAAAAAGGTCCAGTGTTTTACACAAACTTACACACTGACATGTTAGAGCAGCCCCACTGTGGTAGCAGGGTTGCGTCCCTAGGGAGCTTTCCAGCTTGCAGCAGGCAGGAGCCTCCACCTGCCTCCCATGGAGGCAGCAGGATTAGAATCTGCTGCAGAGGAGGTTCCTCCACAAGGACTACTGAGTAGCAGTTGGCTGGAAGCGTATCAAGGGGGAAAAGCTGTAATAAAGTAAATGAAATTAGAACACAAGATTTGGTTTATAATTAGATGTTTTGTGAATCATTGTAGGTGGCAAAAACAATCTGAAGACCCCTTTGGCAAAATGCCTCAGGCTCAGGCTCACTATTTTTTGTTTTCTTAAGTACCAAAACATCAGCTGTCATGGGAGCATTTTTGATGGGGTTTTATAATGTACAGTAGTGGTTTAACCAAATGATTATTTCAAAACAATTTTAAAATTAAAACGCTGATGAATTTCCATTGCATTCTGTCATCATTCGCAGGTTTAATTATATTAGCTGTGAAGATGACAGATTCACTTGCCCACTCAGAAAAATTTTCCATTCCTGTTTGATTCTGATATGGTGATGACCTTGGATTTAGTGTGAACATGCCAGTGTCAGGAAAAAAAATGCCCGTTAAATCTATAGACAGAGATGCGTAGGTTAAAAAATACTCTGAGGCAATGTGGCTTGTGAGTGCTACCTTCATTCATTCACCCAGCAAAAATTCTCTTGATTGAGGGCAGGGTATTTTGACATTAAATCCAAGAAAATTTGACTTCTGTGCCTTATAAATCAGTGCAACCAATCTATTCAAAAGATCATACATCTGGCACAAGAAAATATTGCTAAAAGATAGTCTCAACAGAAACTAGGAGCTTCTTATAGATTGACCATTGAAAATGAAATTTCCAGCAAAATAAACAAATAAAACCTTGACATTCTGAAACAGACCCTCAAAAATTGATTATACAGCAATGATAAGTCATTTGTGTGCCTTAGATTTTACTGCTAGTACATTGGCATTATTTTCTGCAACCCAATAGCTTACAGAAACCATACACCACCATTAGAAACACATTACATTTTAAGCAATTACTACTGGACACTTGCAGGCTAAGGGAAAAGAAAGCTACAAAGCTTGTCACACAGAACAGCTGAACAAAGAAGAGAGTTGTGACACTTTTAAAGTATTTAAATGATGATTCATTTCTTGAAACAAAACAGCTGGCTTCTGTTTTCCTATGTTCATTAGGAAACATATGTTACTTAGGAATTCTTAAGACCTCACTGATGAGAAATTTGATTCTGAAAAACAGGTGTATTTCAAACTCTAAGAACCTTTCTATTGCTCAAAATCTTTTCTAATTGCTTCAGAATCTTAAGTGGAATTAAATAAAGCCAGTGGCATAACTGTTCCTTCCTCTTACCCAAAAAAATAACGTAGAAGAGTCTACAGGGAAGTTGGTGCAATATCTGGTATAAATGTACATATGAAATGACTTTTTAAAAGTGTCACTAACGGGGAAAAACTCTGCCAATAAACAGTGCATAAAATAACTGAAAGACATAAGCATAGCAATGGCTGGAAGAGTGAAATCAAATCTACCTATATACAGCCACTTAATATGTGTTCTGAATCAATACATTAATTTTTTAAATTATAATGTTGTTCATGGGTCACTGCAGTAAAAATTTAAAGCTCCTTCAAGCTGCTCTTAGAGATCTTTGCTTGCACCTGTGGTGAAACCCAGTGGTCCTGAACCTGGACTGCACATTGGAATTACCTGGAGAGCTTTTAGAAAACACCTGTGCTCCAACCACAGAGACTCTGATTTGGGGCGGAGCCCATATCTCTATCATTTAAAAGTGCGTCAAATGATTCTAACATGCAGCCAGGGTTGAGAACCACTGACTGGTGGAAAAAACATGGGCTTTGGGATCAAAAGGTGGTTGTGGCATTAACAGCTAGGTCAGCTTGGAAAAGCCACTTCATTGTAAAATGGGTATAATTGTATCTACACAAAGAGTTGATCGGAGGATTAAAATCAAATGAGGTAAACTTACCCCAAAGCACAATATCTGGCACTTATTAAGTCCTCATTAAATATGTGTTCTTTTCTATTCACCCCACCTCAAACTTTTTTCCCTTTCCTGAGGCCTCGTTTAGCTCTTTGGAGTACTAACTGGTACCATCCTCAGCACCTGGTCTTGCTCATCTCTGCATCTCCCACCGTAATTTTGACAGAGAAGGGACAATATGTGTTGTAGAATAAAAGGTATAACCAGAGGTATAATTTAAACATATAGATGATTTACCATTGCTGTGTAATATGTGACTTTTCAAAGCACAGACCAGCAAAATAGAATTACAAAAACAGCCTACCGTGTGAAAGCAAACACTACAGCAAAGCACCAGAACAAGCACAAATAGCAGTGGAATGCGTACATATAAATCATTCCTTGTTTAGCAGCCACATCATGTATCAAGAACACTAAGATACACGATTTGGTGTTAACAGTAAGTGGCAATGGAGGCCATCACACCCATGGGACAGTCTACATGTATGGAAATGATGATCCCTGCCCTGTAGTTTGCCTGGCCTGGGACCAACAGGTTGCGGTGAAGGGATAATGTATTTGCAAGTTGCTTGAGGGGAACTGCTGCTTTATAGAGATAGTGGAACAAGGTGGCAGGATATCTAAGTACTCCTGAGAAAAGAGCAGGTGTCTTTTAGGGCAGACTGTCATGGGAAAAAGATGGGGTCTCAACAGCACCAGCCCTTTCAAATAACATCAAAAGTGTCAAACTGTTCAGCCTTTCCTTATGTTCAGCAATTTCATCATTTTTTCAACTTATATCTGCAGTGATAAATCACTGAATATCCATTTTAAATAGGAAAAACAACCCCATATGTGTCTAAGATTCAGGTGTAAAATGCTTTGTCTGGAGAATTTTATATGAGAGAAGAGATCCCAAAGATTTCCTCCCAGCCCAGTGTCACTCAAGGACCACATGGAGAGATGGAACACGGCCTCTGTTGGGTCCTTCCTCTGTATTTACGTCAGTTCAAATGTATAGCAGCTATGAGTATAATTACTCATACTACTTCATGTACTTTCTCCTACCCTCCCACTTTTATATTGGCAGATGTGATTTTTTTTTTTTCCTTTTTGTCTTTTTTCGTGACCGGCAACGGATCGCAACCCT